GGTTTTAATGGTTAGACGACAGCTCATTTTATTTGACATTAAAGATGTTAAAATTGAGTATTCTTTAAACATTTAAGTGATCTCAATTTTTAAAAATTATATATAAAGATTTGGAGGAGTGATTGTAGCCAATGTTCAACAAAGAAAGAGCAAGAATAAGCCCAGTTAAACTTATGTATTTCAACTAGTGTTGAAAGCTCTTAAACCTTTCTTATTATTTGAGCTGTGGCATGGACTTTTAGAGTTTGAGTTTTAAGTGCTTTAATTGAGCATTTAAGAGGGACTTAAATAGTCTTGATTTTATATAATTATCTAAAGATAGAAAACAAAACATAGAATTGAAAAAGATTGGCCAAAAAAAGAAAGAAGGACAAGAGTAGCTCTTGAAGTACTCCGTAATATTTACTATGGAATTTTAACCTTTAAAAAAAAACAATTCCCTATTTTTTAAATTTTAATTTAGTTGAGTTAATTTTTTAATTCAAAACTAATTGAAATTTTTTTAAAACTCAAAATAAAAAATTATCGAAATAGTGAGGAGTACTAAACTAACTCGATTAATTAAACTCTGAGACAACTTGAAACCATTTCTCTACTCTTTCTTCCTTTTTTTTTTTTTTTCTAAAAAAAAATATTTATTTTTTATGTTTTATTTGTTAAAGGTGAGGGGGGAAGGATTGTGCTTGGTTGGATTAGGCCTTCTATGTCCCAATAAAATGGCCCAATGACAAGAAGTCATTTTCTTGATGAACCAATAAATGGCCCAAAGGGCTTTGTTTACACTTAGCCCAATAGAATGGTCTATAAATCTGTACCCTGTACCAGAACCGTCCGATTCTGGTCTCTTCTAAGTTCTATATCACAGCCGCCTGATGCGATGACTACTCTATCCATTTCCTCTTGGCATTAAAAATGCGTTGGAAAGCACGAGAAGCTACCTAGACAAACCCAAATCCAGATATATCTAGCGCACAGTGGGATTGGGTTACGGTTTAACTTTAACCAACAAAGTCATCCTTATTTTTAAAAAAAAAAAAAAAAACCTCCTCAGTGGTAATTTTATTATTGGAGATATTGCCTACATAATTTTAACTACACAACTTTATTTATAACTTGATTTAATATTAAATTAGTAAATTATTAAAGTTTATATATAAAAAAAAGAACAAATTATTTATGCCACGTCGAGTTGTAAATAAATTTATATAATTAGGGTTTGTGTGTATAATTTTCCCCTATTTCATAGAGGCTTGAAAACCTCCTAATATTAAATTTGAGATTTTGTTTTCATAAAATCTAAAATTTATTCACATAATTAAAATCAATCAATTCGAATCAAATTAATACCTCCATCTTATGAAAATGTTAAACACCTCCATCTTATGAAAATGTGAAACCCTATTTAGTGTGATTGTAATTTTCTATTTTTATTTTTTATTTTTATAAAATTTATAATTAGTGAAAACTAAAAATCAATAATCAATAATCAATAATTCATTTAATACAAGTTTCAACACTTATAACTAATAACATCAAAAAAAAAAAATCTAATAACTAAAACTATAAACTTATTTAATAATATTAAAACCATTTTTGTTTCTACTTATTAATCGTTACAATATTTTGACAAATAAACACGAAATAAATGAGATTTTTTTTAATTTACAAAATTTAGGAAAACTAAAATAAAAAAAAAAATAAAAAACTATAATCACACTAACCAAATCTTAATATCTCTACCAATATTATATGGCATTTGAGCCCACTTTCTTTTCTTAGGATTGCTGTGATTCACTTGAAAATATAGTGGCTTCCTATTTGTATCTAAAAATGAAGAAGCTCCTGAGGCAACATTTCAGTATTTGGCTACTTCAGTCCCTACATATGAAATCTCTTTATGATTTTTTTGACCATTTGACTTGTTTTGCAAAAAACGAATCTACTCCAACTCCATAGCAAGTTCTATCATCCTTCGCTGCCTTTTACTACTCAAGCTTGATTAAACATCTATATGCAAGTTTAGCAACCCTTATAATTTCTTTGTGTGCAAAACTATCCTTAACTCGAGCATCAAGAATATTAAAGAGGTTACTCTCTTCCATGGAAAGAATGAAATGAGAGGCCAAACTTCTTTCACCTTCTACCTTTCCTAAATAAATTGGGTTTTCTCCAGTTAAGAGCTTAACAAGGACAACTCCAAAGCTATAAATGTCACTCTTTTTTGTGAATTGACTTGACTGGTAATATTCAGGATCTAGGTACCCAAATGTACCTTTAACATTTGTGATCAAATGAGTTTTGATCAACAACAATTGATCTCAATGTCCCAAAGCCTGAAATTGTTGCTCTATACTCTTCATCTAGTAAAATATTCGAGGACTTCAGTCCTCATTCTCATCATGTATGTACTGGAAAAGCATCCCATTGGGGATAAATTCATAAACTAGCAAAGGAACTTCAGTCTCCAAACAACACCTTTATAACTTAACAATCTTTCTGTCATTAATCTACATGAGAATGACCACCTCATTGATAAAATCCTTAACTTTCTCTTTATCCAGTACTTTAGACTTCTTCAATGTGACAATTCTTCCATCAACTAGCATTCCTTCATAAAGAGTGCCTTGACCTCCTTGCCCAAATATTCTATTCCTGTTGAATTTATCAGTTGCCCTTTCCAACTCCTTGGTATATTTTAGTCTTTTCAAGATTACCCTCAGTTGAAAACAACTGCTGCTGCAATAATAAGCCTCCATTTTATTTGAAGAACTAGCTCCGAAGCTTCATTTTCCTTCTCTTTTTTAACATTTTAGATAACCACCACACACCGATAACTAAACAAATTACTATAAATCCTAGCCTGATACCTACAAATATTAAGGAAGGATAAAGGATGACTTTATCAAGAGATCCCCTAGGATATCAAAACTTTAAGAATTTAATGCTTCAAATTCATTGGAAGTTTAAGTTCAAGATGGGTGGGAACAAGTTAAAAAAAGAAGACTACTTACTATATAAGTCATAACTTATCATAATATAAACGAAAAAAAAAAATCAACTTTATAAAGACCTGCTTCACAATGGTATGAATGCTTGGTTAAAATAGTTGCCATTGCAAAGAAAAATCAAAATAAAATGAAATAAAAATAAATAGAAGTCGGTAGAATAAGGGGCTTACCCAAAATGATAGGGCAGGTTGTTTTGTTTTGTTTTGTTTTTGTTTTTTGTTTTTTTGTTTTTGGCAAGTGTAGGACCCAATGGTATTCCGGCAAGTTCCGTGGCAAGGTTACTTGTTTGGTTCTTTGCACTCATCAATATCTAGTGGAGTATTAAATTAATTAGAACATTACATCGTCCCAAAGAAAAAAAAATAGAACATTGCATATGGACGGATGAAACCCTATTCAAAAAAATATGTACTTCGTTCTGCAAATAATTTTAGATAATGATTTTATATAAGTAATTGAAATATGTTTGTCATTATATAAAAACATTACTTAAAAGTTTTAAAATTAAATCACTCGGTTAAATTTTAGTAGAGTGAGATTCTAAATTAGAACTTTTCAATTTAGTTATTCACTTTTTTTTTAAGTATGTTATTTAATATGTTTATTTTTATTTTTTAAAAATAATTATAACATATATTAAATGTATATGTTTTTATTTTGAGTTCAGGAAACAATCTTCCCTCATCTCTTGTTTTACCTTTTTCACATGTTATGGACTCGAATCCATGATGTTTTACTTTCAGTGAAAAAAGAGTGTTATTGAATTAATTAAGTCATTAGTATAAAAAAATCTTGTTTATGTAGTATTTAATTAAGAATAAATATAAAATTTTATTAATAAATTATTATATTTTTATTTTATT